CACTTTATTACTTGTGAACGATCCGCACACTTGCGGTGATTTAGATTCGAAACATATTTTCGTGAACACTACCTTCCACAAAGGCAGCTTGAGCTTAATCAATAATAGAACCAATAATAGGACACAACTGAGATGCAAGAATCTTGGTAATAACCTTATAAAACACATTGCAACATGTAATCCGCCTATAATCTTCAACGGTATTTGAATGATTTGATTTAGGAACTAAAACGATGATCGTGTGATTCGTTTGCTTTGAGCGAACAAGAGTTAAAATTTCTAATATCGCCCCCTTAAAGTTTCTTCCTACAATTCTACAAACCTTCTTAAAGAAGCAAGAAGAGTATCCATCCGGACCGGTGATTTTTCATCTCTAATAGAAAATAATGCATCTTTATCCTTAAATAATGATTTGCCCTTTTTATGTACAGTGGAAGGCAAAAGAAACGGACAGATACTCCTATTCCTTTTAGTATCCATACCGAGTGCGCTAGAAGCAGTCAATGACGTTAACTTACAATCGAGAGTCTATATTTCTTAACTACTCGTTGAGAAGTCATTAGAGGATAAAATTTTGTGGGTTTCAATGTTACATTCTATGAGGTTGAGGAACCGATACTCTACTAACTAATCTTCATGCTGAATGATTAAATTATTGAATTATGAATTTTTTACCCTTTATTAGTCTCGATCATTTTACGACATATTTGGTATACTTTGTGTCATAACGAGTTAATAGGTATTGAATATTTGTTTCGATAGACTTCAATGAAGAAGTAGATGTTTATTCATTATTGTGATTTTGAACTTCGTTTTTTGAATACATCCCAAGCCTACGGTTGGCCCCCTTTTTACAAAAAAACTCGTTTTTTAAACAATCATTTTCAACGACATATTCTCCTCATAAAATAATATTACATACAAATCGAAAAAAAAAAAAAAATCTTATTTTTAAACTATATATTGGCGAAAAAATCACTATTCCAAAACTCATTTACCCCAAATTTGCAATAAAAAATGGAGCCAAACAGGGCTAAATATTAAGAGCCCGATCTAAGTCTAATTTCCTTTATTCTTTTTCAAATTTTCGTTAAGCGGACATATGATTTGAAGACACGTCAAGACAAGAAAACAAGATGTACACAGATAGAACCATTTAATTAAAAGAAAACAGGTGAGAATAATTCCTTAAATATATGTTTGTAAATTGTAAACATGGTTATAAAGTGTAAAAATACGAGGTTTATTCGAGTTCTTGGAATAATCGATCGTGAGAGTCAGAAATGGTATTTACAGCTTTCTTTCAAGGATAAAAAAAAAAATTAATAATATTCTCTACGCATAACAACTTAACTTATATTTATATGAAAATGAATAAGAGAGAAAAAAAATTAAAATATCCCTTTCGAACTTGTAATATAAGAGTTAGTTACTACTATATGACAGGATTTCTTAAACTTATAACAATTAAAAGTAACTGCAATAATTAACAACATATTTGTTACATAGGCAAAGAAATAATGAAAATGAGAAATTCATAATAGCACTTTGTCCATTTGTTAATGGCATCCCATACCCCATATCACATGGACTGGACACCATAACTAAAATCTTCAAATGGGAAAGGGAATAGAATTGATTGATTTTATGTTAAAGGTCCCACTCACATGCAAAGGCTCATTAGTCATCACCTTTCATCTTTCCAATGTCACATTCCAACGCCCACCACCTCCACCACCACCACCACCTCCACAAGATAATATTGACATGTTTAATAATAATGCATCCAAGGGTACTCTAAACTATTAGATCAAAAAAGATTTCATAAATATTTATCATATGGTTTAATAATATCGAATTTTGATTAGTCTTATTGGTATTACTTATGAGAAAAAGGCATGTCTTACAAGTAAAATCTCCACAAATATTGCGTAACTGGCCATGAGAATGCATTAATAATATGATTTGCACGAGTAATAGACAAATGAGGAGGTTGCAATGAGAATGATGATCACTCAAAACTCGACAAAAATGGGCATTTTTAGGGTGGGATGGTCACGAGAGGAGAGGGTATTCTAGCTTCCTTCGGGTTGTAAGAAGCTTTTCTCATGCAGTATAGAGAAAGTTTCTCGAGCTCAGTTATGAACGACTCAATTACATGGGCTTGACTGAATCTTCTCCGGTCGAAAACTTTGATTGCTTCTATTTAGCCCCTAAACAAACAATTTCTCTTACTTCAAAATTTATAAGCAAAATCACTTTTTTCTCATTCAAGAATTTTATTTAGCTCTTATTGCATGTTACTCGACCATGTCTCACTTATAAAATCCCCTCAATGAATAACAGCACTACTGTTTGAAAGAAGAGATTATTTATGATTTAATTAGAAAATGAACTGGGATGTCTCTTTTACGGGACTAATGGTTATGTTAGCAAAGATTCTTTAAAATTCATTCTCTTAATTCATTTTCAATCTTTCATTTTTCTAATAAAATAAATTTACATGTGAATTCATAATTTTTCAAAAAGTCTACATCAAACAAGCTCTAAAGCCCTGTTTGATAGGGCTGGAATTTCATGGAAAATGAAAAGGTAATTCCATTTCCACCCTTTAACCATATTTGATGGCTTAAATATTGCCTAAAAAAAATTTTCCCTCCCCCCACCCCACGCGCCCATTTTCCATCATTTTAGGGAATTCATTTTCCCACGTTCTGGCCAATTATATATATATATATCATAACCAATTATTAAAAAATTCACTTTAATGGATAATTTCCATGTAAAATGAAGTCAAACGAACATTAAATTTTGATGAAAAATAGTTTTCGAGCAAAAAAAAAATTTTACTTTTTGACAATGGTAACAAATTTCATAACCAATTGTAAAAAAAATATTCACTTTAATTGACAATTTTCATGTAAAATAAAACCAAACGTGAACAAAAAAATCCAAAATTTCAAAAAAAATTCGGGTGGAAAATTATACCAATCAAACACATTAAATTAACAATTCCTGAAAAACAATTTTTAGGCGATTACTTTCCCTGAAATTCATTTTCTTTCCACCTATTTTTCATCCTTACAATCAAACGGACCCTAATAGTAGTATTAAGCATTCTCACCGACACCAAAGATTGATTCCTAGACAAAATCCAGTCTATTTCTTATTCTTTCTTCAGGGTCTAATTTTCACTTTTTTATTCATTGACTGCTTCAACTTTTTACAGCATAGGATACTCGGATAACCTTATCCAAAGGTGAAATTTAAAAGGACGCGTGTATTACCAGCAGTTCGAGTCGCATTAATTTATGTAATGAAATGAAAAACACAGTCAGCAAAAAGTTTGTCCATTGATTGGCCAATATAGTACATAGAATATGCCCTGAGAATCGATCTCGTGGTGGCCCTAAAAATGTAGCTCGACCTTAATAGAGCTTGGACCAAAGTTCTTGAGAACACAATTTCCATACCAGGTAAAACTTTAGTTTGATAACATTAATCATCAAGAAAATAAATAATTGTCTACATTTTAAAATTTTATTCTCCTTCTCTGAGTCAACTAGAATCGACTTACCTTAAAAAATGCAAATACTAAGATAAATGACCTCATTCAATATGATTTTCAAAACTTAGCAAGGGCTGAAAATATTGTGCAATGAGATTTTTGGACACGCCTGATCTGCTATAAAGGGTGCCTTAACCCAGTTGTGAAGATGGAACTCCCATAGAGCAGGACCAAAGATTACATTTCTCCTCTCTAACAATTGCAACCACAAGCAAAGTGCAGCAGTTGCCTTGGGACAGATTCCAGTTCCTCCCTTCTCATATTGGGAGCATCTGGTGGTCCATACAGAGCTGGCAAAGGCGTTTTGAAAGCAATTCTCGTACAATGAATTTTGATACCCAGGTACCTTTTAGAAGCTAATTAGGCAAGAATATGTGACGTTAGGATTTCCTGAGCACCAGCTGTAACTGGATAATGATTAATGATGGTCATTTGACTCTGGACAAGTTTTCTCACTGTTGTTATCACCAGGCTCTGGAAAGCTTTCAAGCACCTGTAGTTTGGAAAGGGGGAGGGGTCGTAAAAAAATTAGGGAACAACAAAACTGAAACAAAGAAAATGTTATAAACTGAAGACAAATAAACAAGGAAAAACGGCAGTAATA